TAAAATGTAATATAATCAGATAAACCTCAACACATTAGGATTGGATAAAACAAACAGAAGAAAAAGAGCCCAAGAGAAGGCATAAGAAACACAGATACCTACTCATTCACACACTCAGGAATCCCAGAAAAACACTAAACTGGAAGCCACAATATATACACAAAGGACCCATAGGATAAAAAAGAGGGAAGAAAAAAATTAAATTAAAAAAATGATAAAACATTTAAAAAGGAAGAGTCCTGACACAACATGAGACAAGGACCCTCAAAAATGCCATTGAGTTCCTTTTCTGTTGTCCATCTGCTGTTGAGCATGCAGCCTACCCTTAAGAGTAGTTTGTTTCCCCAGTGAGACTCTTTTCTAATTTTTTTTGTATCTCATTAGCCAAGACCGTGTGACAATTGGAATAGATGACAGTAGACCCTTATAGAACATACCCATACTCTTTAAAATGTTTATTTATGTAATTATAACCTTTGATTTTTCTTAGTGATTTAGAGAAGTATCAAGATAAACAGTAAAACAGAGTTTGAGCAAAGATGTCATTGAAGGCAGAAAAGAACCAGAGGTTGGATTAAAATCCTAAGCCATGGCCAGGTTACTATTCTATTAATTGTTGACCAGGAAGGCTCCTAAGGCTCTACAAACCATAAAGGCTATTACTACCACCATTATTATTATTATTATTATTATTATTATTATTATTATTATTATTGCCTGTAAGGCTAAAACCAGGTGGCAAGTCCATGTTGTTAAAGACACTGCGTGCTTTTGCTACAGGACACCGAGAGATCAGGTAGAGACCAAGCTGGAAGCTCTCACCTATTTACTGGCTTTCTTTAGTGCCAGGAAGCACTGTGTAGGCTACTATGGGAGAATTGTTACCACTAGTCCTGTTCAGCTATAGACCCTGTCTATTACAGTACCAGCTTGCCTGATATGATGTGCCTGCTGGTACAGTAGTGACAAGACTATTATGGTCTAATAATGTTGCTTCTGATTGGAAGGAAAAGCCAAAAGCCAGTGGTTTGGAAGGTCATTGCTATTATTTGATAAATAGGTGCAATATTCCTGTCAAATTGTATCAAAATATTTATATTTAGGTTCATAGGTTACTACAGCTAACTGTCCTGGGGGGGGGCACTTCTTTTTTCAGTGGGTGGTATACTGAGAGACTGTTCTTAAAAATTAGTGGCAGTCACTGTGGTAGTAATGGCATATATTTAGTCATAGATGGATTAAAATGATCAGACATGTATATCACTCCCTTCCAAGCACAGTAAACAAGTCCAGAAGATGGAACAGAAAGAACCTAAAAAGCAGAGCAGTTGTTCTTAACATTTATAATGCTGTGACCCTTTAGTACAGTTTCTCATGTTGTGGTGACTCCCAACCATAAAATTATATTATTTCTACTTCATAACTGTCATTTTGCTACTGTTATGTATTGTATGTAAATATCTGATATGCAGGACATCTGATCGGCAAACCCCAAAGGGGTTATGACCCACAGGTTGAGGACTGCTGAACTAGAGGAAGGGACAGAATGTTATGTAGCAGTTCCCTCCATATTGAAACATTACTTCCTGGAGGGAGGAGGGAGGCTTATAAGAGTCAGGAATTGAACAAATCAAACAAGGCACAGAAAGTAACTGAAACTTACAATGTTCAAGAAGCTGATGAAAGATGTAATATTCATAGGCCTCTCCCAATGTCATATAAATAATAACAATTACTGGGCTTAAGAGACTCTTCAACCAGATGAGCTACTTGCACACCATGTAGGGAGTTCTGGACATATAGCCTTCCTATATTATTGGCCCATGTTAGGGCAGAATTTTTTGGCAATTCAGTGACTTTTGAGTCACCCATGGTCTTACAGTAACTCTTCATTGCTCTATATTTTTCTATAAGTAGCCTTAGTGAGCCTATTAGTTCATAAATTTGATTTCTGTGGAATCATTTCTTTGATCTGTTGTGGGTGACCTATCTGGGATAAATAAGCTCCCAAACTATTATTTGTCTGTGTTTTACACAGTGCTGGCCCTTGCATGCCACAAATCCAGTGTCCCGGGCCAGGTGAGATATACCCACTAGGGCAATAGTGGCAAGACTGTTTATGAGGTAACCAGCTACACTAATGATTAGATTTGAAGCCTGCTTCATGGGAAGGGATTCATTCTTGGTTCTATAAACATTGCTAAAACACATTACAAGGGAAGTCATCGACTCAAAGGGGAAATCTTTTGATTTGTTTTGTTAAGTAGTCAAGTTGCCAAACCACCACCATCTAAATATTTATGTTTATATCCATAGATCACCACTGCTTCCAATCTTTGGCAGAGAATCTTTTGACTGCAGTGGGTGCTGATTAATGTAGAGACTCCACCTGTTCAAAGTGTTGAACGTGATTATGAGTGCTTATCCATAGATGAGATACATTGTTTCCCCGCAAAGCTCAGGTAACAGTCTAGAAGAGGAAGAGGAAAGAATGTAAAATCCCAAGAATGGGGAAGAGTGCTATGAAAAACACTCTTCTGAACATGATATAGTGTATACATACCAACTCACAATAGCCATGGTTACCTGCACAAAATCAAGCCAATTAAAAATTCTGGCAGGGAGGAGGCTCCTGAGGTCCCACCCCTAGCTAAGGAGTTAATGTCAGTTTGTGACTACTGGGGACAAGAGAGTTACTTTTCTTTGAAGTGTGGCCACTAGAACTTTGTCAATTGCCCTTTGGATGATTCCACACCCAGTGAAATAATGGTAACATTAATTGGACTCAGTGAGTTATAAGGAAAATGAGAGATTGAAGATGGACAGGAGATAGGGTGGAAGAGGGAATTGGAGGGAGGGACTGGGAAAGTGGATATAATTAAAAGGCATTGTATAGATCTGTAAACTTTTCAAAAAATATTAAAAAATGCCAAAACAAATCGCTGATGATGTTTAGAACGGAAGTAGTTTATTCACTGCTGGTAGGAATGTAAGTTAGTCAAGCTACATTTTTTTTTTCTAATCACCACACAACAGTTCTGCCCATTGTTAATTTCTTATGAAACAATGACTTTTGTGTTTTACATTATGACTGACTTCCTTTTAAGATATTTTATTGTGCATTATTTATCTATGAAGATAATCCATGATTGAATTCTATGCTCTAACCAGTAAATCCACTTCAAGTATAATGAGACTGGCAAATTAAAGTAAGAGAATGGTAAAGCACAAAACCAAAGCAGAGATGTCATAAAGAAAGCTGAAGTGGGGCTGTCATGGCAGTGGCTGAGTGTCACCATCTCAAACCTTTTTGTATCAAGTCCCTGTTCAAGGAATTGCCTACCATCTGCACTGGTAGAGAGGTATGTAGTGGTCTGAACTTGACAGTGTTTACTTTTCTTTTATCTAAAAGCCATGTTCTAATAATTCTTTTAATGCACTTGTGTGTGTGTGTGTGTGTGTGTGTGTGTGTGTGTGTGTGTGTGTGTGTGACAGCATGGATGTGCAGGTTGGAGCACAACTGTTCAAACAGCTACAGAATGATTCCCTTCATTGCCCTTAGTGCTCTCTGTCTAGACAGCCAGGAAAGCTGAGGACAGATGTATAGTTACTTAGGCCCCCAAATTTGTATGAGGTTTGAAAAATGGAAAGTTTTCTAAGTCAAATGCAGAGGACACAAGGGCATCTAAGCCCTCCTGGAAGAGTCACCTGGTGTCTTCTTATGTAGCTGACAGTAGCCTGACTTCTGTGCAGCCTGACTTGCAAATTTGGCCTGTTACTTAGGGGAAGAACTTGTTTTTCCTTGAAGATTTACTCTTCAGAAGGAGATTTGTGACTCAGTCAGGCATTGAGACCAATTCTAGGATCAGGTGTCGTGACAGGGATGTTTCTGGAAGTGGAATTGTGTGCAGTATTACCTTTTAAAACCTGCAGAGTAATGCTGCCTTTAGGGAGAAGTGAGTGGCCGATGTGAAAGAGGAATCACAGCACTGGGATGGTCCTGACTGTGGGGAGTCTTCCCTGCTTCTCTCTTTTGTAAGATGACTAGTGGACTGGTTTTCTTTAAACTATGGGAAACAAGTGAAACCTTCAACTGTATATATTGAAAACAAACCCATTAATAAAGGAAGTCAGGCTTTCTGTGGGGCACTTGGCTTGCCCCCAGCCCAGAAATGCTCTTTCTGAGTTTCCAGCAGAGCTGCCAAACTCTTGTCTCCACACCTTCTTTCAGAATGTCCCTTTCCTTCCAAATCGACTTGCTACTATCATTATGGTCTTGTTAAAACTACACAACATCCAAAGGCATTTGCTCCATAGAGTTTTCCTTTAGTGAGAAGCAACAGAGGAAGAAGTGTGTAGCAGCATTTGTAGTCAGTATTCCTTCAGGGAGACATACTAAAGGAAAATAGTGACACTCCTGCAGGAAGAAGATCTTTTCATTTTATGTTTGAACAGTTAGAATTTGGACAAATACATGTGTTTTTCCTTTATTTTTGCACCTTATACAATATCCTGAATAGGGATACTGGGATAGATTATATCATTTTATTAACATGTGGAACAAATAGGTCTGTGCCCCTAAAATGTATGCTGACTGTAGGTCTTATATAAATGAATGTAGGCATTTAAGGTTTTTTTGTTGTTAGATTTTAGGCTAGTTTTATCTAGTTTTGGAGCTTTGTCCACGTTCCTCTAGGTAAGACTTTTTCTGAGGATTTGATAACTTGTCTTTATCCATATGTATATTATGGAAATCTGATAACTTGTCTGTGCTTCCATATATAGGCATATATGCATAAATATAGTAAATACTCTCATATAATTGGCAAGACTCACTCACCAATATGATTCCCTCAGTTGTGTGTTGCTGCTTCTATCCCCTTGTAGAGAGGGGTGAAGACAAGAAAAGAAGTGAGAGGCAGATCCTGAATATTGCATCTAACCAGGACCTAAAGGTATGTGAAAAACTTGTGAATTATATCTATTTTTTTTCCTTTTAGGTCTTGAATTTGCCTCAGTTGATTGATGATTCCAAGTATAAAACGAACCATCTTCGGGTGCAGAATAGAAAAGAGCTTATTAAAATCCTATCTGCAAGGTAAGCTTGGATCTGATGCCTAAATGAATTATCTTGTCCTCATTGTGAGAGGCTTTGTGGGTCCTCTCCTTTTATATCAGTTTGTAGTTCTCTTTATTTCCCAAATTGATTAATGAAAAGCCACCATAAAATAGTTTGTTGTTAAAAACAAAACATTTGAAAGCATTTAAATGTCTTATTAAATACCAACTCCTAACAATGGTGTAAACAAAGTCATAGTGACTTAAGCTGGGTTGCTTCTTTGAAGTATGTAACTGTTTGGATTTAGCATATCATAAATTGCTAACAACAAGTGCAACAAGAATTTAACATTAATTGTACTTTCACTGTGTTAAAAACTCTGTATATCATCTCATTTAACCCTTACAAGCATCCTGTGAAGTAGGTCCTGTTGTTCCCATATAAGTAAACCCAAATATGTGGAGGTGAAATTAAGTTCATTAGATTTTCTGAGCCCTTGATGTGAATGAGTTACTGTGATGGAAAATGCTAGTTTAAGTAATGAGTTATTAAAGAGTCATATTAATTATTTGATTTCTAAATTTCCATTCATGTCATGTTTTACTTTTAGGAAATATATACCAATTTTTGAATTTTGCATAAAAAAGTAATCTAACTCTTTCCTATTTGTTTGCTTCTAAATTTTTTAGTCTGTAAAAATAGTCTTTGTGGGTTTTGTGACTCCAGATGCCTACATGTGTTGTCACCCAGTGTTGAAGATTTGCTTTTGTTATGCCAATGACTTAAGGCTTTGTTCAAATGACCATGTGATTTCATGTAATATAAACTGATTCTTAGAAAGTAAAGTCATGCTTATGATACTTTTATTTCCTTGTCTTGAATTTTGGGACCTTTCCATGAAATTCTGGATATTTATTTACCCTTTTTTCTTCCTGGATTTTAAACACTTCTCTACACTGTATCTCTTCCATGTGCCAAATGCTCTGTGTGTCAAGGGAGGATCTGTGTGTGGGACTAATACACATAGAGTAGGAGAATGGAAAATGGGTGCCCCTTTCCTTATCAACAGTTAAATATAATTCTGATTCTACTGCAAAGCTTCACAGCCCTTATGATTAACCTTTCTTCACATGAGAATTACCCATTTATTTCTACATTTTGCCCCTTTGTCTCCTAAGCATTTTTAATTCATTTAATTCATTGATAGGATTTTTTCCTTTCACACCATGGTTACCAAATCTCAATAATAGGGACTTGTGAGAACCTTATAAAAAGCTCTTTGATGGACTAAAAAATCATGCCCATACTGTGAGAAGAGTAGAAAAATAAACCCAGGAAGATACAAGTATCATCTTGTTATTAAATTGCCAGCATTTTGATAGCACCAGGACACACAAAATTAGAGTTTCCTGTACCCTAAAACTTTTTGATTCCTTGATTAGTTCAGTTATAGAATTCTACTATGGAAGACTTTAAGCAGACTTTGATATAGAGAAAACCTTTTCCTTTTGAGGTAAATCAAGTAGCATTTCACCATTTTATACACCCACACCCACACATAGGAATTTAAGCATTTTGAAATCATAGAGTCATTATTTTTCTACTCTGATTCAAGAAGGAAATAGAAATATGCTGAAAGGAAGAATCTAAGGGTGGTTACAGAGAGGAACCTTGACTGGAGATTTTTCATAAAGGGTCCTCATGGTTTTTGTTGTTGTTTTTTATTTGTTTTTATGACCAAGTTTCATGTTCTCTTAGTGTATTGACTCTTTTTTTTGGTATTATCTTACGATTTTTATAATTTTCAATACTTCCAATACCTTCTCATTCAGGATATGTCAAATAGTGGGGAAAAGGAAAGAGTAGCATATTTATTCATTCCTGCTTATAAGCACATCCTTTGTCTCTCTAAACAAGTAGGAGTGGGTACATTAATCTTATTTAGTGGTTAGCTTTCAGAAGTCTTTACAAATGCCTTCAAATTTGCCATTCTCATTATATGATCTACATTTTCCCCCAGTATTGTAAAACTTCAGTGGCTTTCCACAAATTACAGGCCTAAGCCCAGTATGTTCAGTTTGAAACCTAGAGTCATTCATAGTCTGACATCACCGAAATTTCCTGTAGTTTCCTATCCTATTTCAGTTGGAGGCCCCTGCTCTTGCCACACTCCCATCTTCTGTCTTCTGTCTTATTTCCAGAATTAATGTTTTACTGAAGCAGTTGTAGCTGCATGGCTATTTCTACATTGCTATGAAGCCACTCTCTCATATTTCTTCCTAGGTTCCCTGACAAATGACAGCATCTTTAGGAGAGAAAGGATCCAGTTTGTGTGTCATATCCAGCCTATAATCAAACACAAGCAAAATGGGCATGAGTTCTTGGGACAGTATTGCTCAGGAGTATGCATTGTTCAGTATTCTGATCTTGACCAAAAAAGTTTCCTTTCGGTAATTTCAGAAATTGTGAATCATTTGAAGTTTGTTCCATGAAAACAGAGACATTAGCTAGCAGGGAGAAAGAAAGGACTGCCTTTGCTAGATGCCAAGTTCAGGCCTGAGATATGCGATTCTTCTTCCTCTTCACAGATTCAGAGGGTTAGTCCATGACCATCATGGCAGAAAGGCGGGGAGCAGGCATGTTGTCGGAGCAGTTCCTGAGAGCTTACATCCTTTTCTACAAGCAGAAGGCAGAGAGAGAGCTAACTGGGAAACTTTTGGGTTTCAAAAGCCCACCCCCAGGGGCACACCTCCCCAAATAATGCCACATCTCCTAATCCTTGCCAAACTGTTCACCAACTGGGGACCAAGCATTTAAATATATGAGCTAGATGGCCATTCACGTTCAAACTACCACAGGTTTTATATATACAGTGAGTGGATAGAAAAGGCATTTTAAAGCCAGGTGGTGGTGGCGCACTCAGGAGGCAGAGCCAGGCGGATCTTTGTGAGTTCGAGGCCAGCCTGGTCTACAGAGCGAGATCCAGGAAAGGCACAAAGCTACAAAGAGAAACCCTGTCTCAAAAGAAAAGGCATTTTAAGGACCACATTCTTTCCACATACCGTATTTCTCACCCCTGCAGTGACACATCTCACCTCTGCAGTGACACATAGTCACTTTGTACTTGTTTATTAATTTAGTATATACTTACTGGAGGCTCTTGCTTATAAGTTGTAAGCATTGGAGATAAATAAGTAAGAGAAAAGTACATTATTAAAAGATAATTAGGGAATGGAAAAGATGAATACCCGAGGTTGGGAATGAGGGTGGCTTCATCCTCATATATTCATCAAGGGGGCCTGCTCGATAAAGTAAGATTTGAACAGAGGCCTGTAGGAATTGAGAGAAGTCAATCAGCAGAGACCTGTGCTGTGGGATGTTCTGTATGGCAAATGTGTTGCTGATTAGTCAATAAATAAAACACCGATTGGCCATTGGCTAGGCAGAAAGTGTAGGCGGGACAAGGAGGAGAATAAAACTGGGAAGTGGAAGGCTGAGTCAGAGAGACACTGTCAGCCGCCATGATGAGAAACAGCATGTGAAGATGCCGGTAAGCCATGAGCCATGTGGCAAGGTATAGATTAATGGAAATGGATTAATTTAAGCTGTAAGAACAGTTAGCAAGAAGCCTGCCACGGCCATACAGTTTGTAACCAATATAAGTCTCTGTGTTTACTTGGTTGGGTCTGAGAGGCTGTGGGACTGGCGGGTGACAGAGATTTGTCCTGACTGTGGGCCAGGCAGGAAAACTCTAACTACACACCTGGAAGAGGTTTCTAAGACTGAGGGCATGTGATGGAGTTCTAGAAGCAGCTCATCAGCTGCTGTGCCCTAGGCTAGGGGAGCAAGGGGAAGGCTGAGGAGGGGGCACAGACATCAAAAGAAGTGAAAAGCAGATCAAACTGTGAAAATAAAGACAGGCGTTTTAAGCAGGTTGATGCTTAGATTGTGAAATAAGGGAATTTTGGTTTTTTTGGCAGGGGATTAGAAGATGGGTTTGCCCAGCAGTAGCTTGTATTTTGTATCTAACCTGAAGTGTCAAAGGGCAGTCTTTGTTTGGTAGAAAGTTCAAAGTATTCCAGGAACACCAAGCCAGTAAAACTTCCTTGTATTTCAGTGGAGAGGCCATGAGAACTCATGAGTTTCCATAATATGTTTTTCTGTTACAGTAGCAGTAATCAGGACTCTGGGGAAGCCATTAAGGGAATGAATGCTGTTTCCATCTAGTCAAGAGAATGGGGACTTCCTCTGGCTTGAGGGGGGGGAGCACCTGGTAGTCTAAGATATGAAAAAGGTAAGAGGTAATCCAGTAGGGCCAGTAAATCACTTAGTTAAGGAACTACCCCAAAGAAGGCAGGTTCAGTTCATGCCATGCTAAGGAGATGGGTGGGATAATTATCTTCTTAATGAGATCATGTACTTTTCCTGCCCAGATGCCTTGTGCTCTGTACAGTTACCACACAGCTACTCTGAAACTCTGTTAGGTTTAAGTCTTGACTCAGAAAGGAGCAGCTTTTCCTTTCTTTTCTTTTGGATATGGCCAGGACCTAAGTTAACTTTTTCTAGTACTTTTGGCTTTTCACTCTTTCTCTTAAGTTGCCTCCCTTTTGCCACATGGTTGCTTGCTGAACCTCCACACCTAACCCGGAAGTCATGGTGTTCTTGCTTCCTGTTTTCCATGTCCCTCCTCCAGGCAGCTACTGAAGTTTACAGTGAAGCTGCCTTGTGGTTTTTCTTTTAAGTGCTAATAAAATTGTCCTTGACCTTTTATCTGAATGATTCTTAAGTTCTTTTATAAAGAAGAGTCAGAACCTAGAGAGGGACCCCAATTTCATTGGTAACTCAGTGTGATATCCAACGCTGGGCTCCCTTAAATTTTGCACTCACTCACTCACTCACTCACTCACTCACTCACTCACTCACTCATTTTTACAAACATAGAATGCCTACTGTATACCAAGGACTGTTCTGAAAGTTAGGAAAATTGCATAAAGAAAGGCAAAATGCCCAGCTCCCCGGATGCCGACTTTCTAGAAGAC